GTTTAGACTGAAGAAGCTGCTTGGACGAGTAGCAAAACATCTCTAACCAAAAAGAAAAAGAAAAGAAGTCCAGTTGCCATGACTCAACCTCCAGACAATCCACCTGGATGACTGAGAATCTTCATAAACATGTCCTAATAAAATAGGAGTTTTGCAACTGGCTGTGCCTCCCATGGCAGCCTTTAGGCAAGCCCACTCCCAGGATAGCCAGTTTTTTTTTGAGCACCCACAACAAGCTTTCATAAATGTAGATGTAATAAAGGAGATTCTTAGACCAGATGTTCTCATGGGTTGCTTTCCCTTGTCATTCCCTAAACGATGTGGGTTTAACTCCTTTACTAGAGTTGTCTAGAATTAGGTGTAAGAAATGTCTGGCACTTTACATGCTTTTTGTGGCTCACAACACTTTAGCTTGCAAATATTGACCTCTGCATATTTTGAATATTCTTATTGTTCTAAGGTGTGGGCTTCATATGCTTTTCAGAACCTCAAAATGTTCAGCTGTCAAATTCTACCCAGTATCTTGGCTTCTTTGATATGGTTAGTAAAAGGAATGTATATTCCATAGGCGAACATACAAATAATACTCAGTCTGGGTTGTGACTTCCATCTCCAGATTTTACTACTTCCACTTAGGCCTTCTGGAGTCCTTGGCCCACAACGTAGAGTTCAGGATAAGAAGATGACTTGCCTGTTCCTTTTCCTTCAGAGAAATACTTGCTTTTCCAAGAGTCTCCTTCCTTCAAAGGGCCATTTTCCATGCTGCAAAAGAAAAAAAACCTAGTGAAATTTAATATTTCAAATAAAATAACAGTGAAGACATGTTATACATGAAGAACCCTAGGAAAGGAACACAATTATCAATTCATTTCTAATTCCAATTTCTTTGTAGAAAACAAAATATCAATAAAATTCCCTGGAAGGCAAGAATTCCTAGCACAAACATTTTGCATTCCAAATATCAGATTTCAGTGATGTGTGTGTAAAGCATGCACAAATTAAACACACACTTGTAGACTGGATTTTTTAAAAAAGTATTTTTATGTGAAAAGTTAGGAAGCTCTGAATGGCAGTGAAATTACAACCATGTTAGAATTATTAGTAATTGTGCCCAGAAGTGTTTAGGGAGGTCTGTGTAGTGTAATAGATCAGGTGTTAGATTAGGTCTGGGGAGATCCAAGTTCAAGTTTATTTTCAGTCATGGAAGCTTACTGACTGATTTTGGGTCATTTGTGCTCTCATCCCAGCCCACTCCATAGGGTTGTTGTGGAAAAAATGGTAGGAGGAAGTTACTGGAGGAAAGATGTAATCTATACTAACAGACAATATAATTTTTTTTTCAAGCATTCTACCATAACTAGGCAAGTTGAGATTATCAGAATGCTGAATTTTACATCCAATAATGTGTTATTCAATTTTCCTGAATTTCAGTAGAATCATAGGATACATACTCTAATCCTATTTAAAATTGGCATATATGCTTCTGGTAAAATTTTTAGGGGCAATGAAGAAGGGCATTTACTACAGTATCTTTAGGAAAAAGTAAAGCAAGTTATGATGACTGATGAAGAAAAACAATCCAAACTCATAGTTGAGTACTACCTTTATTAGAACCATCAAAATGACAAAGGAATGTACATCATTATGGGCTTGCCATCGCATCCTCTTAATCATAGCATGAACATGCCTCAGTAACCACTTTTTTATGCCAGTCCTTATGTTGTTGCCTTCACCTCATCCCCAACCTATAGTTGAGGCAGTCTAAAATTGTCTCAGGTGTTCCAATTTTAGAGTAGCATATTTCCTCTTCTTCTTACACAACTTTGCCTGTCAATACAACCAAGTATGCTTCACCAATTTATTAGTACATTCAAAGGAAGGATCACCCCAGTTCCTGTTAGCCACCTTAAACTGGTGGTGGTCATGCCCCTTCCTGCTTCTGGGATTCGCCCTCCATGCCCGTTTAAGCAGGGATGCAGGAAGAGATCAGACACTAAAACCACAGGGATAGCATTAGGAAGCTACAGCTGGTCCAGAATGTGGCTGCGCGGGCTATTTTTGGAGCCCCAAGAAGGGCCCATGTAACACTGTTGCTCTGCGAGCTGCATTGGGTACCAGTTTGCTTCCGGG